GAATAAACATGGCCTTACAGTTTTGACACTGAGGGTCATATCTTGGGAGAAAGGGAACTTTAAGCCAATTTCGTTGATGCAGTGAGGAGTGGTAAGCACTGGGCAAAGCGGAAGGGGAAGATGCCAAAAGAGCCATGCAAGCATTTACCATGGCAATGGTAGGATGTAACAATCACCGGTCCCGCCTACCACTCACATATCGTGAGAAATTTCAAACAATGCCAATGTAGACCTTACTTATGCAATATTATCCTTTCAGGCAAATCAATAAGTATGGAGCACAGACAAGCGAAGGAGGGAGAGCATATCGAGATGGAAGCAATCAGGTCAGTACATAGAGCCAAATAGATGAATGACCAGTATTCTCAACGGTTTCCGAAGAGCCAAGCTTTGTAGTGAGGCTGGTGTTGTTGGTATTGTATGGTCGTTGTCGGTGGTTCGTTGGTTCATAGGACAGAAATCGGGATGACACAGATTATGGTGGCTGAGAAACTTATGCGTGTTCAGACAATAATGGATGAAGCGTGTGTACGGAGTAGTAGTAGTAGCTTTTATGGAAGCCATTTGGAAGCCATTTGGAAGGCCATCAGGACGATCAAGGCCATCAATAAAAAAAGCTACACTCATTAGCACTACATACCAGTATACGACATCCGCGATTCCGCACCTGATTTAGCCTTGCTCACTCTGGGCTAGTTATGCCGAGAAAGAGCCACAATTGGCTTATGTGGAGAAAATGTCCCTAGCAAGCGAGGCAAGGTTCCATCGAGTCACGAATCGTGCATGTTCCTCTCCGCCTCTGCTGCAGTTTACTGCGTTTTCCTGCATTTCTCTGCATTTCTCGTACCATGATGGGTTTACATTGTACGGTTACAATGTCACCTTATTCTCTTCGAGTACATGTTGTCCTCACCAACATAGCAAGTCCTTAGCGGCCAATCGTGTATACTGGTCGAATTCCTTACCTTACCTAATCTAACCCTATCGACCTAGCAAAGACCAAGGCGTACGATGTATTTTCCAGTCAGCGACATTCCGATCACGGTATGGAATCTGTATGGAATCTCAATTCTCCAATCATGAGGCCGTACTAACGGGCTCCATATTAAAAAATATTTTGGATGGATTCATCAAGACTTCAAAAGTCCTAGTTCTTTCGGTCTTGTGCCTGGCTAACTGAATTCAAACATCATCTGAGATCCCGAGCTGCATCATCGTCAAATTGTCATTACCAGCCCTTCTGATAATCCTCGTCGTCTCGCGTTTTCTCGTAGAGTCGACCCTCACGCTGTCTACCCATCCAACATTGTCCGTAGGTAGTCGTTAGTAGCCACCCGCCAGACGGCGTACGTATATACATTTCTCCCAGTGAGTTTAACGAAGCCCCTCTCTTAGATGAACACACTCCGTCAGTTGCCAAGACTCCTTTCACGCGGTAACCTTGTATTCCAATTCAATCATGTTCATAATATTGCATTTTTAGATGAATAGCCCGAGCCGCACCAACGCCAACACCGCAAAAATTCTCTTCTCTGTTGGCGGAGTTCAAACTAGTGGATCCCAAACTACCTGGTACTCCTTTACTAGTTGCTAGAAGAATCTTCCCAAAAAATAAAAATACGTATGAACCTTGGAATTAGAAACATCAACAAGAAGCAGGGTTCTGACTTATAGTAGGGTACCGTGCTTTCCGAATCGGATCTGATTCAAACCCCTCCCTAACCGTGAAAAATATTCTCCTCCATGTAAAAGGAAGAAGCTCCTCAACTGAGTTTTTATTACACAACTTTTTGACCGAAGTCTCACATTCTTATTACTCTATCTTTTACTCTATCAATCATTCTCCAATTCATTGTCACTGTATCAATCTTTATCACGCAACCACCGGTTCATCTCAGGCTCTCAGCCTCGTACGCCATCCCTACCTTATCTCCAGTTTCCAGAAATTCGGGAGTCAGTGGAACGGCGCCTATAGGGCCATATAACATCTGATAACGAGTAGTCTATTACTGTTTTTAGACGCAACCTCGCTGTCCAAGCTTCTGTCAAGCATTCACACTGCACTGGTTGTCGGGTGCATTCACTCTTTTAATTCGTTTGATCTGTATAAATTTTTGCCGAGGCCAATACCTGGGGCCAACAAAAGGCGGGGTTCAGAAATACCATAGTATCACAATTTCTCCTTATTGAAATGGCAGACATCTCAACAAGCATGTCTATCGACGCAAAAGAATCCGTCCGAGAGGGCACAGATGAATCTTTGGATGCTTCTACACCAGAGGCGGAGACAGAAATCCCTCCAGAAAGTGTTGGCCAACAAAAGAGGAAGGGCGGTCGAAAGCCTGTATGTTGATAGAAGATGCTCAGCTCTGTAGCACCCCTTTGCTAATGCGATCCCTTAGATTTATGCTACTTCAGAGGAACGTAAACAACGCAATCGTCAGGCGCAAGCAGCGTTTAGAGAGCGTCGCACAGAGTATATCAAGCAACTTGAAGAAACTATTAGAGTTCATGAGACGAACCTTCATAATCTCCAGAATGCTCACAGAAGTGCCGCTGATGAGTGTCTGATGCTTCGATATAAGAATTCTCTCCTTGAAAGAGTTCTTCTAGAGAAAGGTGATTATATCAATTGAGCTTTTTTTCGAGCATGATCTGATTTTTGACAGGAATTGATGTCCAAGCCGAACTACGTGCGAAGACAGGAAGTCCTCACCTTGGCCCAACGCACATGCAACAGAATATGGCTCAGCCACCTACTGTTCAGCGTGCCATTATGAATAGACATCATCAAGCTAGACGATCGAACTCGAGCATTGCGCCGAAGCTTGAGCCCGGAGTTTCTTTCCATACCAATCAATCGCCACAGTCGAGACCTACTCCACCCTCGCACGCGTCGTCGCCTACCACAAGTTCGCCAGGCTTCAACAACCAAGGTGTACTAACTCCACCTTCTTCTGACTCTCATATGCAGCATCAACAGCAACAACAGCAACAGCGCCTTCATGCCGCCAAAACACAGGCGCAGCATGCATTGTCAAACACTACCGGACTTCTCGTTAATACTAATGTAGCATCGCCATTAGGGGCAAAGGGGCAAGGAAATGGCAATGGTACGGGTAATGTAGGAGGCGCTCCGGGAGCTCCTTCTTATTATCCGTCATTCCAAAATCATATTGAGCAACTCGGCAAGCTGTCCCGTCCCCTGTTATCATTTTCTTTTTTTGGAACTATGTTCGTCCTAGATTGATTCCGTGAGTACAGAACAGGAGTACGATGCGCAAGCCGACATGGTTGACGATCAACCCGAAATCGCAGGGCCCGGCCCGTATCCCGAATCGATTCCCGCTGGTCAACTCAACCAGCAACTCGGCCACCCTCCACACTCGCAAGGTATGCACGGCGAAAACCCACCTCAAGCATACAGTTCGATGACGCAGTTACTTGATCCTTACGACCCGGTACTCGACATGGACCCCTTCGGTCTTTCGGCAAGCATGCAATTTCCAACTCAATTCTCTTTCGACACGAGCTCAATGCGATGAGCCATCATCGCTCATGATACCCACGGTTGGGAATAATCTCTCCTACGATTTCGGCTGGCGTTCGAGTAATGATGATCGGTCTTGATGTATCGTGCGATCAGGCAATGATTTTTTTGGTTTTGGGGGTTCGGTTTGGGGGTGCATTTGGGATGGAGTTTAAAAAAAAACAAAAAACGGAAGGGACGGAGCAAAAAAAGTTTATGAGCAAGAGCTATGGCAGATTTCGAGTTGCTATCGCATTGCATCATTCGCATGCCTTCGAGACGATCGCGGTCATGAGCACGGTCTAATTAAGCACTGTATGTATTGAGCATTTCATTCTCTCATGATGGAGATGGCTTTCACGATGGATAAGGAAGATGTATAAGCATACTTGAGGGCAGAGATGGGCGGAGTAAGTTCCATGAACGGGTATTCCTGCCTGGCGACAATGGCAGGAAGAAAAAAGCATCCAGAAATGGAAATATATTGGATGGTTCCCTTTTCTTTAAGATACATTTTCCAAGGCATTGTCTTTCATTTTCTAATTGTTCCTCTTTCCTTCTGTCATTTGGATTGGTGATCGTTCCTTTATGAATGATGCCATTATCTCTCTTGAAATATACGTTGATCATAACGTTTGGATGAATGTAAAATTGTATGTAATTACGAATGAATGATAATACCAGTAAATGAGCGATTAACATGATAACTTGATATTGTCTACCTGCTAATTCCACGCAGGAAATTTCTGAATAAAACAATTTGATACTTTGCTCTGCGATTAATTTCTTCAATGATAGAAATGGTTGGGCAATCCGCGAAATGCCAATTTTTATGATAAAAGTAGTCGCAATGGAATGTATTAGAATCCAGAACATCTGAGCTCGCCGCCTCCATGAGATGAGATCAACAAGAACAAAGACAATTGATGAATCATGGCTTAGAAACTCACTCCATGTTGCACAAATGATTGACATACGTACATAATCCCTACCTAGGTATCTATGAACCTATCATCATTAAAGGCAATTGATTTATCAAAGCGTATTCACCGTTTTTTATACATAAAAAATCAACATCCAATACCAAACCTTAATGAGAAGTTCTCAATTCTGCTATCACCACTCTATCACTTCTATCATTCACCATCACTTATCACTACAATCAAAGCAATTCTCGACTTTAACCCCACATCTCAGAAAAATATTGGAAAGCCCTGGTGGGCTGCTCGCTTATATCCAACACTAAACTAAATCAAGTTTAGATTCTTTGTGTACTGAGGAACGAACCGACTTTTCAGCATCAACGACGATTTACAAGTTTACCTTGTTCTCCAACCGCAAATCAGCAATTCTCGAGAGACGGCTTCCTTGTGTTCAGGAATCTGTCAGTCTCGTTTTCTTAACTCACAACCCCCGAATTGTTCTCTCGGTAGCAAAAGCTTCTTCGGAGGCACTCGAGAAGCAGATCAAGATGTCGGGTATCGCTTCCAAGGTAATTATTATTCTCTTAACAATCAACAATAAAATTTTCATGCAGTTTGCGCTTGACAAGATGCGCCGCAGATTCAGCCATCCATCGGGTTTCAATCATTTACGAGTTTCAAGGCTATATGAATCAATGTAGAACCTTTACGAGCTTCTCGGTACGCCACGAATTTACTCAGAAAACAATCTTTGAAGCACGAAAACTGATCAAAAATAGGCAACGACCACGAATATGATTCCGACAAGGAGCCAGAGCCACCAGTGAAGGTTGTCGATAAGACTCCAGCCCGCAACACCAAGCGCAATGCTACTGGAGAGGCACCAGCAGCCAAGGCTCCTGTAGCTGACGGACGTGGTGCTCGTCGTGGAGGATACTCCGGAAACGAAGGTGGTCAGTACATGGAAAATCTCAATATGCATATATCAATACCTCCAATATTACGGAATATTTGAGCTAGTTGCAGTGATCAATCAGAACATTAGCTAATGATATTTTAACAGCATTCCGTGACCGTAACGCTGGCAGCGCCAACAACCAAGGCAAGCCAACCGATGACTCTGTCCGACAAGATCGTCACCCAAGACGTGAAGGTGGTGGACGTGGCCGAGGTGGTGCTCGTGGAGGCGCCAAATTCGATCGTCACAGCCGTGGTGTCGGAGGGTAAGAAATCCCCTATGATAAAAGTGGTAGCATAAAATATTGACACTTTAAAAGTGATTCCGAGAAGCAAGCTGCTCATGGCTGGGGTGCTACCGAAGGTGGTGCTGAGCTCGCTGATGAGCAAGCCGGTGAAGCTATTGCCAAGACCGAGGCTAAGGAAGATGGTGAAGCAGCTGAGGCCGCCGCTGAAGAGGCTGAGCCAGAAGACAACAGTGTCTCTTACGCCGATTACCTCGCTCAATTAGAGGAGAAGAGAGCCGCACTCAACGCCGCTACTCCTGAAGCTCGCAAGCCAGACAGCAAGCTCGACAAGAAGTGGGCCAACGCCAAGCCTATCTCCAAGGAGGACGAGGAAGACTTCGTCGCTGGAACTGGTGGCAAGGCTAAGCGTGAACGCCAACGCACTCAGAAGCAAACCATTGAGATTGATCAACGTTATGTTGAACCCACTGAACGTGGTGGTGGTAGAGGAGGCTTCCGTGGAGGCCGCGGACGTGGTGATGGACCACCACGTGGCGACAGAGGAGGTTTCCGAGGACGTGGTGAGGGCCAACGTGGACGCGCTCGTGGCGATAGAGGCCCACCACGCCAAAGTGCCCCAAGAAACGGAGGTGCTTCTGCATCCATCCAAATTGAGGACCAATCTGCTTTCCCAAGCCTTGGCGCCTAAAGTTTCATTGAAACTGAACCTGCCGATCTTTCACAACATGGCATAACATGATATGTAGAAATGATCTCAAAAAATTTGTGTTTTACGCAATCGTTATATGAGAAACAAAAAATTTGATTAAAAAACGGGCCAAAATTGCATTGTGAACTGGTTAATGAAGGATTTTGCTCATAATGAATGTACAGAGAGGTTCTACGACTAAAAGGGACGTATTGGCTCTCAATTATGTTTCGTGATGGGATATTTCTCTTTTCCACTTTTACAACTTGTCTTTTTGTCTTTCTTTGGTCTTACCTTGCGGATGGTGATGTGACGGTCTGGGGGTGGGATTTGGTTACCTGGACTTTTCTTCGCATTTCACTTGCTTGTAACGGTAGATAAAATGAAACGGGTGTTTTCTCTCTATCTTGATTTTGGGGGTCTTGATATTTATTTGTTGCTTAGACCTTGGCTCTTTGATAGAAACATATCAATGGGAAAGGGAAGTAATGAAGTCTAGCTCGAATGTCTTTTCATCCATGAAGTGAGATAGGTGCGTAGCAAGAGCTACCAATTATATGACACGCCTGCTGTTTCATGGTACATCTGATGTCCTTGTCTGTATATATGTAGTCAGCTATGGAGAAGGTATGTCCAAGGAATTTTAGATTTACAAGTCTGAGATTTCCCGAGTACATTATTATAAAAGCTTTGTTACTCCCTTTTGGCACTACTTTCAAGTCTTCTTAAGTGTATTACATAGGTGGAAGTAGAGCCTTATAGTCTTTTGTCGTCTTTGGAAAAGACTAGGTACATTTCCTTATTGTGAAGCCTTTTTTCTCAACTCGGGAAGGAGGATGTCCTTCTATTCATGGTCATTACACGACACAAACACATTCCAAGGGAATCCGTTAATGCTTTCGTTGGCATATCCGGCCGAGCGAAACCTAATAGCTTCTTAAGGGTGTTCGATCAGCTAGCTAGGGAAGTATGGTAAGGGGACTATGTGGTTGAGTCTGTCTGATAATGAAAGATCATGACCTAGGTGTCTAGATTCTCGCTACTGCTAATGGCAGATACCTTGTGTTATACTGTGAAAAGCCTCAGTATGGTCGTTGGTGTCGGTATCTTTATGGGAGTTCTGTGGTTTCGACTCCAGTCATTTCCTCGATATTCAATCACATGTGTATTCCATCATCGATGTCTCCGAAGGGGTTGATTGAGGGTGTGGTGAAACCAGCGCCGACATCCGCAAGTATTGGTCAAGCCTGGTGTTGGCTTGAACCCGGTGGTTTATGTGGTGGAAGATGGATTTTCGTCTGATTCTTCTACATCGCCGCCATTTTATCCCCTCTAGTATTCTTGAAATTCTCCGCGTCTTGCATGTTCTATCATAGAATGAAGAGGATGGGGCATCCATTCAATCCTCCTAACATGCCGCGATTCAAGTTCAGGGTTAGAATAGTGTTGTGGTGGGGCAGGATGACCATTCCGGTTCGCAAAACACGCCGAGTATATTGTCTAGAGCAACCGCAATTCTTCCACATACGACCATAGACTGAAGAGAATTGGGCATCCCGTCCGCTCTGCCATACACAAGCTTCAGATCGGTGGATAGTAGTTGGGTGGGTGACCACCAGCGAATCCCCACTGTTGTATGTTGACTTTTTCTTTTTGTTTTGTTGAGGGGATATTCAGATATCGTTTTTGCCGGATTTGGTCCCTGCAGAGGCGTCTCTTCGGCACCACGGAAAGATGGGTAGGGTGGAATGCTCCTATTATTCTATTTGGCGGCGTTGTTAATTTGGTCTTTTCTGGGGGCCATCGGTCATTTGCTCGAGTATTGAGTTTTGCTCCACCAGTGGATGTACAGACTGACGGGACACTGCAAGAATGGACTTGTGAATATCTCTTGATATATCAAGTTCTATATCTTAAGAATTTTTATGATTGTTTACTAGAAATAAAACAATCAAAACATAACTTTTAGTATCGAATGATTGAAGAACCAATTTGTTAAAAATTTCGAAAGTTGGAAGTGTCCCGTCAATCCATGCACTCACTGGTGCTCCCGCTGGGCGAGCTCTCATCGTGAGATTTCTCGTTGTATATCACGGGTGTATAGTGCTTTCAACAATTGAACGCTTGAACATTCCCATTCTACTTCTGATGATAGAATCTTATTTTCTATCTACATGGACAGGAACTCTAAAATATGTTTTACTAGGAAAGTACATACTGACTGCCGGTACGTGAGATGAGAAACTAGTATTCGTAATTCTGATGTATTAGGTGTATCAAAGGCTATATCTTGTTCTAAGGGTCTTTTGTGTATCATTTTACTTCCCTGGAATATTGCTGTAGCTTTTGCATCGTGATACTGCTGACTTATGGAAAGGGGGTAAAGATTTCTGGACTTATGATGTCGTTATGGTAGAAGACTTTCAGTGTTTAACAATTTACTTGAGACTTCCTCAACGGTCACATAAGCATTGCATCAAATCCCTAAATACTTCTCTGAGACAGCACAATGTACCAACTCGCTGTTCTATATTCTCAGAGATCGCATAGCGATTAGACTTTCCTATATAGGACCCTCTAGAGATTTGTAATGGGATCAATGTATCCTCTGTTTGTTTCGAGATGCTGGCAGAGCAAAACATGAGAATCTTTGCTTCACGGAATTTAGAGGTGCTGGACTCGAGGAGTTGTTTGGTTTCTCTGTTTCCAGGGGGTGATGCAGTTTAGGACATAAATATGATATGCACTCTCTTGGCTACTGCCATGCGAATATTCTAGAGTAATATAGATACAATTTCAGACTGGAGAACATTTGATGACTTGCCTGGGCGGCACTCCAACGTGTGATATTGCAGGGGTCGCCACTTACTAAAGTGTCATTCAGCTTGAGAACATATATCTGGGCTTCGTGGTGAATTCAACAGATTTGGCTCGTCTTGCTAGCCCATTGCCACCGCTAGACATATAGTGATGAATATTGATCTTTGCATTATTCTCGTCTTCAGCACAGAAGCTCATCTTTCGTCATACTTCGGATGCTTTGAGTCTACTGATGTCAATCCCGTCGTCAATGAGTGCTACCCTGACAGCGTCCTGTAAATCTTCTTCAGGATCTTAAGGAACCATCAGACAAACGAAACTGAAGGATTTGGGACAAATTTGTTGCCAGGGAAAATTGAAGAATATGACGGAGATATGAAAAGAATGACCTGCATGAATGAGACTGACGAAACAAGCTCTGTGTAAGATTTAATGTACCTCAAAGCTCCCCCTCCGAAAGCAGACATTCGTGCTCTAATCCACGAGCTTGTATGGGTGTTGAAACCCGCTCTTTTTGGCACTACGTATTGCCTGATTCTGCGCATTCCGATAGATTCGCAAGTTCACCAACACGGAACTAGGAGATATGGAGGTTATACCAGACGAAAAATACGCGTGCACTACTCTGTATAACCAAAATGCAAAATGTCACCATCATCGAGATATAACCGCTGCTGAACTTCCCACCACATTTCCGAAGAAAGATGTCCCGAGTTTGACGAGGTCGAAGAAATCGATGGTAGCGACTCTGAGGATCGTCTCTCGAGAGCTTCAACTTGGAGCTCTCAAGATTTGCTATCCTCTTTCTTGTTCGTAGACGGACTGCTTTACAGCACCTCTCAGCCAGATCTTCGGGGAGGAATTCTCAATAACCGCTATCATCCATATGCACAACAGGAATTCAAGATCGAGACAGAAACAGGTAGGGGGAGCGTTGTGAGATCATACCTAGTAAATACAAGCAAGCATCTTGACTTTGCAAAATGAATCCTCATCTCTTTCCCACTCTCTTCACTTCATTGCCCATTCTCGACGTCACATATATCTTCCCTTTCTACGTCTTCTCTATTTCCCTGTTTCCTATTTCCCCATTCCTCGCTACCAGCAAAAACAATAACAAGTACGGGAAAAAGCATCTCGACTATCCCTCACATACATTTTCATTCCATCAAGATATCAAAAGAAACTAAGATAGCTCCGCACTAACGATCATCCAACCATCGAAAGACCATGATCACCACGAGAGAAAGTCCGACATCGAATCTCCAATATCGAAGTTATACCAAAATCAATACGGGACTATGATCCTCATCCATGAAGAAACCCCTCCTCTCCTCTCCCATTCTTGCTCTTTCTTGGACGTTCCAAAATCACCGTTTTCAATATCCTCAACTCCTTGATCCCTTCACTGAAACGTATTTTGAAATCCCCGCTGGACAGCTGCGAATCAAATATTTATACTACTATTTGTCTGAGATATTGAGCGTAATATCCGTGAGACCACTCGATCATAGGTTCGACAAATCATTACTCCTACGTCGAATGTTTAGTTTTCTCTCAGGAAACTGAGATTCTCTTGGTAACCTTAGATTGCAGTATCCCATTCAAGAACTGTGTGGAAAAGGTCAACACTGGACAGTCGCCCGTCGTATATCTATCCAATTCACCCAAACCCTGAATCCAATGTCTATACAATATAATTACAAGGACGGTTTCTTGTTACCTCATCCTCTCTCATCTTTTCTCATCTGTCAATATAAACACTTACTCAAAATCGCTCTAATGCCTGGAATATACGTCTCACATCTATTATCCCCTAGCCATACCACCCCCCCCCTCAATACATAGGTATCCAATTCTTATATCCATAACCAACCCACCAGAAACACCACTCCGCCATTCGATTTTATATTTACTCCAAAACTCCACCCAAAGCCCCTCCCTTTGAGCCCTCCATCTCTTTTCCCGCATTAATATCATATGCCTTCCCAGGTTTCTTCAGTCCCTGTTCTCCATCCCCATCAATATCACCCACCACTTTCTTTTCAATTTCCTTGCGCGAGTTTTCTTCCGAGATGCGTTGCGTTTCTCTAGATGCCTCGTCGCTTTCCCAATCGTAGTTTCCTGCGCCTCCTCGCTGTATGCATAAATCTGTCAGCTAATCCGTTCTCCACTTTCTTCAACATTGCCATCTTCCTCGTCTCAATCCCCCCCCCAATCCTCTCTCTCCCGCAATAAAACAAGAAATCCCAAACTCACCCCACCCTTGTAAACAACACTCTGCATACTACTCCTCACATTTCTCGGCGAGCTCGACGGGGGCGCGGGATTAATCGTCGGGTTATCATAATTCGTCAATGTTTGCGTGAGACCCGAATTCACGAGCGAAGCGGGAGAAGTGAGATTGCCTGCGCCGCCGCGACCGGTGTCTAATATCGAGGTGTGAGCTAGTTCTCTCTTACTTGGAATGCGAGAGCGGGGAGGAGAACAAACGTTGGTATTCTGGCGGTGGCCCAGCGGCGCCTTTGGCGCGCAATGCTTGTGAGAGTAAGGAGGGAGATTTGTTTTGCTTGATGGAAGAGGAGGAGGATTGGGCTTCGAGATCCTATGCGCGGCTTGAATTAGTGTGTGTTTGATGTTTGGATTGAGTGAGGCGAGAAGGCGAAGATGAAGACGAAGCAGTTCTGGATGACGCAGGAGAGGGATGAAGAGAATACAGAGAAGAAGCTGCAATATACATACAGAAGTTCCATTACTCCTCTCTACATCCTGTTTACTATAGAAATTCCCCGCGCCGCCTCGCCCTACTTTCTTATATGGTTCTTGGGACATCTCTTCTTGATTTCGCCTTTGGAGTCAGTCG